TCGCGCCAGACATCGTCACGTGTTGCCTCCTTGAGGCGCTACAGTAGGCAGACGACCCGCCTCGGATTCGAGCATAAGTTGCGTGGCCCTTAACAGGGACGCTCCCGCCTGAAACGGGGCTCCTGCGTCAGACTTCCTCCAAATTCAAACCTCAAGAGCCCGAAGTGACGACAGTTCCATGATTCCGATGACCCACCTCGGAGTCGAAAGTGAGCAGCGGGCCCAATAGGTAGGGAGTTCCCGTCTGAGGCTTCCACGCAATTCACTCAAAGACGCGGCCGCCGGATCAGCATGTTCCGCACCCGCGTGGCGCAGTAGAACATGACGTAAAAGTGCAGCATCCACTGCTCCTCCGACATGCCCGAGCGACCCGCGTCATCCAAATTTCAACCTCACGAGCCCAGAGGGACCACAGTTCCAGGATTTCGATGACACGCCTCGGATTCGAACATGAGCTGCGGGCCCCATGGAGAGAGGGTTCTCGCTTGAACGTTCCTCGCAATTCACTCACAGGCGAGGCTCCCGCTTAAGACTTCCTCCGTGTTCAAACTTGACGAAGGCAAGAGTGACGACAGTCACAGGATTCCGATGACCCGCCTCGGATTCGAACATGACTTGCACGCAGCATAAGGCAGGGGATGGAAGGGGGCTCCCGCCAGAGACGACGGGCCTCCCGCCTGAGACTTCCTTGCAATTCACTCACAGACGGGGCTCCCGCCTGACACTTCCTCTAGATTCAAGCCGCAGGGGCCCAAAAGTGAGGACAATTACAAGATTCCGATGACCCACCTCGGATTCGAACATGAGCTGCGGGCCTCATGGAAGAGGGGGATCCCGCCTGAGACTTCCTCGCAACTCACTCACATACGGGGTTCCCGCCTGATACTTCATCAAGTATAGCATCAAGCCTCAAGGGCCCAAGAAGGACGACAATTACAAGTTTGCGAACGACCCTGTGGGATGAAACAGATGAAGCGCTGGCCCCATTTGGAGGGGGTTTCCGCCTGAGACTTCCTCGCAGTTCACTCACTGACGGGGTTCCCGCCTGAGACTTCCTCTAGATTTAAACCTCAAGGGCCCAAAACTGACGACTGTTACAGGTTTGCGAATGACCCGCCTCGAATTACAGAAAACATGAGGCGCGGACCCCATAGGGAGAGAGTTCCCGCCTAAGACTTCCTCGCAATTCACCCGCTGACGATGCCCCCGCTTGAGACTTCCTCCAGATTCACGCATCAGGAGCCTAAAAATGAGTGAGCGAGTGATTAAGTGAGGGACGAATGAGTGAATAATGATGGCGATCGTTGTCAGCATCGTGAAATTGATGTGTGTGTGTGTGTGTTCGAATGCGCGAGTGTGTGAGTGCGTATGATGATGAAGATAGTGATGATAATGTGTGAATGCGTGATGATGGTGATGATGGTGATGGTGATGGTGATGGTGATGGTGATGATGATGATGATGATGATGATGATGATGATGATGATGATGAGTGTGTGTGTGTGTGTGCATGTTCCTGATGAAGATGATGATGATGATGATGGTGATGATGATGCTGATTATGTTTGATGAGATGGATGGGGTGTTGTTGTTTTGCGCGTGGGGTTGCCAAAAAAAAGAAAGGACACAAAAAAAAACTAAAAAACTATATAATAATTTAAAAAAACTTCAGATGTGGGACATGGAATGCGGGCCCCGTAGGGAGGGGGCTCCCGCCTGAGACTTCCTCGCAAATCACTCACAGACAGGGCGCCCGCATGAGACTTCTTCTGGATTCAAGCCTCAGGGGCCCAAAAGTGACGACAGCCTACAGGTTTGCAAATGGCCCGCCTCGGATTCGAACATGAGCTGCGGGCCCCATAGGGAGGGGGCCCCCGCCTGAGACTTCCTCGCAAGTCACTCATTGACGATGCTCCCGCTTGAGACTGCCTCCAGATGCATGCCTCAGAAAACCAAAAGTGAATGAGCGAGTGATTGTTTAGTGGGTAGCGAATGAGTGAATGAGGATGATCATGAGCATTGTCATCATCATGATTTTGATGAGTGCGTGTGCGTGTGCGATTGTGCGAGTGTTTGAGCCATGATGATGATGATGCTGATGATGATGATGGTGATAAGAATGAATGAGTGAACGATAGATGACGATGGTGATGATGATGGTGGTGATGATGACGATGGTGAGTGTGTGAATGTGCTCATGTTTCTGATGATGAGAATGCTGCTGTTGGGGTGCTCCTGTTCCTGGTGATGATGATGTTGGCGATGAGAGTGATGATGACGCAGCGGGGGAGGTCTTGTTCTTGCGCAGGGGGGCGCAGAGAAGACGAGAACCCCACTTCGGACGTGGGAAAACACGTTGTAATTAAATCGTTTCCCTCCCGTTCTCCCTTCCTTGACGGGCGGGGCGGGGGCAGGCGGCGCACTGGGGGAGCACGGGAAGGGGTAGGCAAGCGCCCCGAATCATATCACCGCCGCCCCCCCCCCCCCGGGGGTCCTGGCGCCCCCCCCCCCCCCTACACGGCCCCCCTCTGTGGACAGCGAGGACAAGGCAGGGTCCCCCGCGCGGGGCCCGGGAGGGCCAGTCGAAACCGTCGCGGCGAGCCGTACCATACACTCCGCCTCAAGCGTGCAACAGCACCCAATGATGCAACCGCACAGTAGGCATGAGCAGAGAGCCAAGGGATAAGACACGGGTTGGAAGATTGCGTAAACGAAAATTTCTGCCGCTCGACAGACGCAACTAGCGCCTCGAAAGCGGGGCAGTCAGATTCACGCGGCCACCGCTTGAGCCAGGCAACGGCGGACGCAGGCGCGTCGCTCTCAGGCTCGACGTTGACCTCCTCTCAAAGTCGGGAGGGGTGCCGAGAGACAGGCCGCGTCAGGGCATAGAAAGACTGCGCTAGCAGCGGCCGCGCAGCGGGTCCCCTGTCCAGCTGGGCACCGAGACCACCCAAAGTGAGCATGGATGTAAAAAATACCTCGTAAGCGAGAGGCCCGTGACCGGACTGAGACAGGCACGCGGCCACGCGGGCCCACGCGCCACAACGGCCTGCCCTCCGCGGGCCAGGCTCTGATGTGTCTGCCTGCTTGACCCGGTACGGCACGCATCGCTTCACCTTTTACTTCAACAACTGACTACCCGCGAGTGTTGAGCAGTAGCGCACGATACGTACAACCTTTGGCACGTCCATCGAACGCCATGTCGCGCGCATCGCACCACTGCACACCATGCACGCTACGTCGTTCCATCATCTGTCGAACCGAAGCGATGCAAACAAGATGGGTACACTCAGAAGGCGTATTAAGATCCTCAGGGGATGAGGACTGGCAGACAGACTCGGCGTCAATAGTAAGTACTTGTTGGAAACCACCAGTTCTAAAATATGTTGAGATGCGCCGGAGCAAAGGGGCCTGCCTGTGACGATGGTTGGGTGGCAAATCTCCAGGTTACGGGCTGCTGCTAGGGTCTCAGCCGAATAGTGGGAACGTTCGTTTAATCCGATGCGACTTACAGTGCGCATGTATAAGGTGGACAACCGCCTTTCCATTCGGCGTGCGTCCACGCAGTAGTAGGCTGGCACCTCAGATGTCATACCCCTTGACTTCGTTATCTGCATCGCCATTGAGGCGACGATAACTGGAGTCGCTATATAGGTCCACTTCTCCCGTCGGGTCATGGCTTGGTATGTGTGATTGTAATGAGGCTTTGCTGTAGCTTTCGCGTTAAAGCATTGAATCGTCGCACTTGTATGTCGCTCGGTTCTTGAACACGTTGTAGAGAGACCACGCATAATTGCCATCACCCACGCTCGAGTGATCAAGGCGCAGGCTAACGCACAACGCTAGCGCACAACGCAATTTTCGTCGATGTGTTCTTCCGCTTCTGATCCAGACATCCCTGGGTGCTGAGTAGTCGTGCGCTCGTACATCGCACGCTCGAGCGCTACCTCATCCCGACTACGGGCACTCGCGGGCAAGTCCACCTTGCTCTGACGGCTCGCGACCGAGCTTGGGCGACGATGACGTCGCGCCCCAACTCGAGTCGATCCAGCAGTGGGTTGCTGACGGGATCTGGAGGCCCGGCAGGCGCCCCAGCATCTTGCAGCGGTGGCACGGGCGTTGGAGCCCCCTGCGGGGATAGCGTGGGCACCTGCTGCGCGGGCGTGGCCGCCCTCTGCACACTGTCACTGCGTCTGGCCAAGCTCTGCATCGGGTGACCGCGCGCGCCGCGGGCGCAGAGCTGGAGCCGCGGGAGAGACGCCCGCGGCGCGCCAGCACTGCCAAGGGATGAGGGAGAGGAGGAGGAGGAGGAGGAGGAGGAGGAGGAAGAGGAGGAGGAAGAGGGGGAGGATGGCAGGGAGGAGAAGGAGGAATGTCAGGGAGGAGCACGAGGAGCATAGGTAGCACTAGGGAGATGGAGGAAAAGGAGGAGGAGGAGGAAGAGGAGGGAGGAAGAAAGAAATGAGAGAGGGAGAAATCATGGATAGGAGGACTATCCTGATAAATCTTTCCCCCCTTCGGGGGGCAGCTTGCCGAGTTCTTCGCATCCTCGTCCAGCTCCTTCTCTTCCCACACCTCTTCTTCCCCATCCTATCCGCCACCCCATTCCCCCTCTTCATCCTGATCCTATTCCCCCTTCCGCTCCCTCTCCTCCCGTCCTCTCCCTCTCGCCTTCGTTTTCCTCCTCCTCCTCCTCCTCCTCCTCCTCCTCATCCTCCCTATGTTCCTGCCCCTTCCCACCAGGAGAAAGCAGACTGGGGAGGGGCTGGAGTTGGCGGCTTTGGGGTCAGCTGCAGGAAGCGCCCCATTTGGGCCCGAGGAGGGGAAGGCCACAGGAGAAGACCGGAGAAGGAGACGGGAAAAGGACGACGACGACGACGACGACGACAGCGGCTGCGGCGGTGGAGCTGACAACGACCCGATGACACGACGACGACGACGACGACGACGACGACGACGACGACGACGACGACGGCGACGGCGACGACGACGACGACGACGACGACGACGACCGAAAGCGGAGGGGGAGACCGGGTGAGGCTGTAGGGGTAGAGGGGCGCTCAGAAGGGAGAGAACTTGCCCGCGCCCTTGCCGCCGTGGGTCCAGCACTCGCCCTGCTCGCACCACTTGCAGCCAGGCTTGCCGCCGGCCTTGCCGCACGCCTTGCCGCCGCCCTTGCAGCCGCCCTTGCCCTTCATCATGGCGATCCACATGTCCCACTGGCCCTTGCCGCACGACATGTAGTCCCACTTGCCCTTCCCCTTGCCTCGGCGGAGGGACCCGCTCCTTCTTCTCCTCCTGCCCCTTCCTCCTGTTCCTCGTTGCTACCTTGGCCGAACTTGAGCTTCCTGACTGTAGCGTTCTGGGAGGCAGTGCGATAAAAAAGAGGAACTGCGCACGCCGACTTAGGCCTGAGCTAACAAATCACGGCTGCTGCCAGTGCGGACGTCAGAGATGCAGAGAGACATGATAAAAGGTTCCCCCTCCGGGGATGCCCATCGGATGAACAGCGGGGGTGCCCGTCTTCCACCCTGGGGTGGTGACGAGCACCCCGGGGGCTGCGGTGCGGACGCCCCATCCTAACACGATATGAAAAGCTCGGCCAGCTTGGCTTGGCGGGGGACCGGGGGAAAAGGAGGAAGGCCAGCAGGAGAAGGGAAGGAGAAGGAGCCGAAGACGGAGAGGAGGAGTAGGAGGGGAGGAGAATCGAGGATAGAGGAGGAGAGGATCGAGGATCAAGCATCGAGCGGGGGAATATCGAGGAGGAGGAGGAGGACGAGGAGGAGGAGGAGGAGGAGGAGGATCGAGGAGGAGGAGAAGCGCCCCCTTGGGCTCGCGACGCCGCTGGCCTCCTCGGAAGTCCTGGCCCTTCCCCAAAAGCCGCCACTTTCATCCCGTGTGGTCTCGTGGCAGACCCCGGAGCCCGGCAACGAACCCCAACGTGGGGGGACCGAAATCCGCCACCGCGCTTGCAGCGGTTGGCGCGCGTCGGGCCCTGTCGCCCTCTGCGAAGCAATAGTGGGGCCCCCCGACGCATCAAGCCCAAGGAGCGTTCCTTCTCGTGGCCACGCCCTCGCGGTTTCGGCCTTCCTGGCAGAGCATGGCCCCAAGTACAAAGCCTGGGACAAGGGGGGGGGTCCGTGGACCTTCCCCCCTCCGCCCCAAGGCGCCCCACCCCCACCCGCCCGAGCGCGGTGGCGGAATCGCGCGGCAGCGAAACTGGATAGAGGCCTCCCCGCTACGTAGGGTCGGAATAGTTGGGGTCGGAGGATCGCGCCGCATGGACGTTGCATCGGCGATGCATCGGCGACGCATGGACGATGCATCGGCGACAGCGGCAATGCATCGGAGCCGTCGGCGTGTAGAAAATCGGGGCCCGCATCGAGCCGCATCGCCGCAGCATCGGCGATGCGGCGCGGTCCTCCGACGCCATCTACTCTGACCCCATCTGGGAGGCCTGGCCACAAGGCACGGATATACCGCTGATCCCCAAGCCTCTCCCAGGGTGCGTCCTGGGCCGAACTTCGAGGAGATCCCAGCCGTGGCGGTGAGGGCTCTCCAGGACGAGCAGCTCTATCGGTTTTTGCTCCTGCCCACGAGCCGTCGAGCTACGCGCGCTCCTCTTCCTCTTCCTCCTCCTCCTCCTCCTCCTTCTCCTCCTCCTCCTCCTCCTCCTCCTCCTCCTCCTCCTCCTCCTCCTCATCATCATCATCATCATCATCATCATCAGCATCATCATCATCATCCTCATCCTCATCCTCATCCTCATCCTCACCATCACCATCACCAGCACCAGCATCACCATCACCATCATCATCATCATCATCATCATCATCATCATCATCATCATCATCATCATCATCATCAGCATCTTCATCATCTTCATCATCAGCATCATCATCATCATCATCATCATCATCATCATCATCATCATCATCATCATCATCATCATCATCATCATCATCATTATCGTCGTCGTCGTCGTCAGCATCATCACCATCACCATCACCATCACCATCACCATCACCACCATCACCATCACCATCACCATCACCATCACCATCATCAGCATCATCACCACCACCACCATCACTATCACCATCACCATCACCGTCACCATCACCATCACCATCACCATCACCATCACCATCATCATCATCATCATCATCATCATCATCATCATCATCATCATCATCATCATCATCATCATCATCCCGCATCATCATCAGCATCATCATCATCTGCATCCGCATCACCACACCATTCATCACCATCAACCCATCACCATCACAACCATCATCCTCTCATCGTCATCTCAGCACCATCACCATCACATCCATCACCATTCACAATCACCACCACCACCCACCACCACCACCACACCATCATCATTCATCATCATCATCATCATCATCATCATCATCATCATCATCATCATCATCATCATCCATCATTCATCATTCATCATTCATCATTCATCATTCATCATCATCATCATCATCATCATCATCATCATCATCATCATCATCATCATCATCATCATCATCATCATCATCATCATCATCATCATCATCATCATCATCATCATCATCATCATCATCATCATCATCATCATCATCATCATCATCATACTGGTCCGGGTCCGGGTCGGGTCCGGGTCCGGGTCCTGCCTTGGTCCTGCCTCCTCCCTCCTCCCCCTCCTCCTCCTCCTCCTCCTCCTCCTCCTCCTCCTCCTCTCCTCCTCCTCCTCCTCCTCCTCCTCCTCCTCCTCTCCTCCTCCTCCTCCTCCTCCTCCCCCTCCCCACACCTCCTCCTCCTCCTCCCCTCCTCCTCCTCATTACCCTCCTCCTCCTCCTGCTCCTCTCCTCCTCCTCCTCTCCTCATCCTCTCCTGCCTCCTCCTTTCTCCTCGTGATCCTCCTCCTCCCTCTCCTCCTCCTCCTCCTCCTCCTCCTCCTCCTCCCTCCTCCTCCTCAAAACGTTAGCTGTCTTGGTCCTTCTGCCCGCGACGAGCGCGCCGCCGGCGCCTCTCCTCGGGAACGCACCAGGGTCGGCCAAAGCCCGGTCGCGAAGCCCGGCCGGCCGCTCAGCACAGCGAGGGCCTTCTAAGCCTTCCCCGAACATACTTTTAAACAATTACTCTGTGACAAACCCAACCTATTCTATACATGTGGCGATTATGCTCAGGACCATTCAATGCTGACTGACATTCTGAAAGACCCGCAGTGCGCAGAAAGAGTACCCATCAATGCTTTCAGAAGAGTGCAGCAAAAAGTCCAGTGGTGATCCGCGTATGACGTACCTCCGCTGGGGTTCCCATGAGCCCACGAAAGTGGCGACACTTGCGCAAATCGCAGTCCCCCAGAGGCGGCGAGGTACCGTGGTGATCCGCGAATGACGTACCTCCGCTGGGCCTCCCAGGAGCCGGAAAATGGCCACAATTGCGCAGATCGCAGCCCCCCAAGGGCGGCAAGGTCCCGTGGTGATCCGCGTATGACCTACCTCCGCTGGGCCTCCCAGGAGCCCACGAAAGTGGCGACAAATGCAAAGATCGCAGTCCCCCAGGGGAGGCGAGGTCCCGTGGTGATCCGCGTATGACGCACCTCCGCTGGGCCTCCCAGGAGCCCACGAAAGTGGCGACAATTGCGCAGATCGCAAGACCCCCAGGGGGCGGCGAGGTACTGAGGTGATCCGCGTGGGACCTACCTCCGCTGGGCCTCCCAGGAGCCCACGAAAGTGGCGACGCTTGCGCAGATCGCAAGCCCCCCAGGGGGCAGCAAAGCACCGAGGTGATCCGCGTGGGACCCACCTCCGCTGAGCCTCCCAGGAGCCCACGAAAGTGGCGACAATTGCGCAGATCGCAGCCCCCCAGGGGAGGCGAGGTCCCGTGGTGATCCGCGTATGACGCACCTCCGCTGGGCCTCCCAGGAGCCCACGAAAGTGGCGACAACTGCGCAGATCGCAAGCCCCCAAAGGGGCGGCGAGGTACTGAGGTGATCCGCGTGGGACCCACCTCCGCCGGGCCTCCCAAGAGTCCACGAAAACGGCGACAATTGTGCAGATCGCAAGCCCCCAGGGGGAGGCGAGGTCCCGTGGTGATCCGCGTGGGGCCCACCTCCGCTGGGCCTCCCAGGAGCCCACGAACGTGGCGACAATTGCGCAGATCGCAAGCCCCCCAGGGGGCGGCGAGGTACCGAGGTGATCCGCGTGGGACCTACCTCCGCTGGGCCTCTCAGGAGCCCACGAAAGTGGCGACACTTGCGCAGATCGCAAGCCCCCCAGGGGTCGGCGAGGTACCGAGGTGATTCCCGTGGGACCTACCTCCGCTGGGCCTCCCGGGAGCCCACGAAAGTGGCGACAACTGCGCAGATCGCAAGCCCCCCAGGGGGCGGCGAGGTACCGAGGTGATCCACGTGGGACCTACCTCCGCTGGGCCTCCCAGGAGCCCACGAAAGTGGCGACACTTGCGCAGATCGCAAGCCCCCCAGGGGGCGGCGAGGTACCGAGGTAATCCGCGTATGACGTACCTCCGCTGGGCCTTCCAGGGCCCCCCGAAAGTGGCGACAGTTGCGCAGATCGCAAGCCCCCCAGGGGGCGGCGAGGTACCGAGGTGATTCCGCGTGGGACTACCTCCGCTGGGCCCTCCCCGGAGGCCACAAAGGGGCGACAACTGCCAGGGAAAAAAAATCGGCAAGCCCCAAAGGGGTCGGCGAGGTAGCGGAGGTGATCTTCGGCGTGGGGACGCCACCTCCGCTGGGAGCCCACGAAAGTGGCGACAACTGCGCAGATCGCAAGCCCCCCAGGGGGCGGCGAGGTGCCGAGGTGATCCGCGTGGGACCTACCTCCGCTGGGCCTCCCAGGAGCCCACGAAAGTGGCGACAATTGCGCAGATCGCAAGCCCCCCAGGGGTCGGCGAGGTACCGAGGTGATCCGCGTGGGACCCGCCTCCGCTGGGCCTCCCATGAGCCCACGAAAGTGGCGACGCTTGCGCAGAACGCAAGCCCCCCAGGGACGGCGAGGCACCGAGGTGATCCGCGAGGGACCCACCTCCGCTGGGCCTCCCAGGAGCCCACGAAAGTGGCGACAGTTGCGCAGATGGCAGACCGACGGCACGAGGAAGAGGAGAGGGGAAAACAGGAGACAGGAGAGAAGGAGGAGGGGAGGAGAGGGGGGTAGGAGAAGGAAGGACGGGGCGACCACGCTGCTCTATTCAAAACGAGTACCCAACACAGGAGGGTTGGGAATCAGAAGGCGCGAGGGCTTCTGAGAAGTCCCACCGCCTCCTGAGAAGGCCTTCTCCTTCTCGCTTCCCCCCCCTCTCTTGCCGCCCGGGTATAAGGAGGATGCGCGGTAAGGATGCAAGGGTCTCGAAGGACATGTCGGCACTCTGCGAGCGGGGCGCGACCAGCGAGAGCGGCCAAGGATGGGCCGAAGGGAACGGATGCAAGGGTAGCTGACGGGGCCCAGGGACACGCAAAGAAATGCACACAAATCCAAGGACTCCCCATATGTTTCCGCATTCTCGGGGACGATCGTCTTCCCCCCACTCCCCATATCATCTAGGGCATCGACAATTAATTGCGTTCTCGCCCTTACTGTGCGGGTTGACTGTAGCCCCCCAGCCTGGGCCAGCGGAGGGCGCACCAAAGAAATCGGCCCCACGTGGCTCCCAAACCCGGGTCGGCCGGAAAGCACTGGCTGACCCCCGCTGCCGCCGACCCCCGCGGCGTGAGCCCCGAGCCTCCATGGATCGAGGATCGAGAAGGGGAGGATCGAGGATCGAGGATCGAGGAGGAGGAGGAGGAGGAGGAGGAGGATCGAGAAAGGAGGATCGAGGAGGAGGAGGAGGAGGAGGAGAATCGAGGAGGAGGAGGATGATCGAGGATAGAGGATCGATGAGGAGGAGGAAGATCGAGGATCGAGGACGAGGATCGAGGATAGAGGATCGAGGAGGAGGAAGAGCCCTCCCCCTTGGGCTCCGCCTCCGCCGCCCGACCAGTCGCCAGTCATCTTGCACTCGGCGCCCCCCATGCACCGGAAGCCGCCCGCGCCGTCGGGCTCCAGGCAGTCGGCGCTCCTCTGCTTACCGTGCACGGAGCACGTCTCCTCGGGGTTTCCCCGGAAGGCATCAAGGATCGGGGAGGTCGAGGATCGATTCAGGCGAAGCCAAGACGAGCATGAATTCGGGTGAGACTAGATCTAGAATCCCTGAGATGTGGCGGCTCTGGAGGATGCATCGGGCGCCGCGGCCTTCTGAGAGCGTTCCGGAACGCTCTGAGAGCGTTCTGGAACGCTCGGGAACGGATTGTCGTCGTCCTAGCCTCGCCCGGTCGAACGAGGATCGATCGGGGAAGTCAAAGAAAAACGAGGATGATCGCGGTTCGGGCCGGCCTGAAGGGGAGGGGAGGGGGCGGGACGGGAAGGGAGAAGCTCATCCTCCTCATCCATTTCCTCCTCCTCCTCCTCCTCTCCTCCTCCTCGCTCCTCCTCCTCACTCCTCGTCTCCTCCTCCCATACCCTCTCCCCCCATACCCTCTCCCTCGGCCTCCTCCTCCCTCCTCCTCCTCCTCGCTCCTCCTCCTCCTCCTCCTCTTCCTCCTCCTCCTCGCTCCTCGCTCTTCCGCCTCCTGTTCGCTCCTCCTCCTCCTCCTCATCCTCCCCTCCTCCTCATCATCCTCCTCCTCCTCCTCCATCCTCCTCTCTGGGCCTCCTCCTCTTCCTCGCTCCTCTCGCTACTCCTCACTCCTCCTCGCTTCTCGCTCATACCGTTTCCCGTTCCTCCTCGCTCCTCGCTCGTCTCCACCTCCTCCTCCTCCTCCTCCTCGACTCCTTCTCCTGCGCTCCGTCTCCTCTTCCTGCCTCCTCTTTCCTCGGCTCGGCTCCTCCTCCTCGCTCTGCTCCTCCTCCTCTCTCCCTCCTCCTCCTCCTCCTCCTCCTCCTCCTCCTCCTCCTGCCTCGCTCCTCCTGCTCCTTCCCTCCTCCTGCTCCTCCTCCTCCTGCTCCTCCTCTCGTCCTACCTCCTCCTCCTCTGCCTCCTCCCCTCCTCCAGGCCTCCGGCCTCCTCTCGCTCCTCCTCCTCCTCCTGCTCCATCCTCCTCCTCCTCCTCTTCTTCGCTCCTTCGGGCTCGCTTTCCCTCTCGTGAGGGGGGAAGGGTGGGGGGGAGGACGGCGCCGACGTCACCTGTCGTTCTCCGAGGTGTTCCCTGGCCACGACCGCGAGTCGTTTCCTCTGCCCTCTCTAGAGGAACTATGGAGGAGGAGGGGGAGGAGGAGGAGGAGGAGGAGGAGGAGGAGGAGGAGGAGGAGGGGGGGAGGAGGAGCAGGATGAGGAGGGGGGGAGGGAGGAGGAGGACGCGGAGGAGCCATCCGCGAGGAGCCGAGGAGACGGAGGGGCGAGGAAGACGGATGAGGAGGAAGACTGATGATGGAGGAGGAGGAGGAGGAGGAGGAGGAAGGAGGAGGAGGACGAGGAGAGGAGGAGGAGGAGGGAGGGGGGGAGGAGGGAGGGGGGGAGGGGAGAAGGAGGAGGAGAAGGAGGAGAAAGGAGGGAGGAGGAAGGAGGAGAAGTCTGAGGAGGAGGAGGTGAAGAATAAGGAGGGGGAAAAATGAAGGGGAAGGTGAGCAAAGAGAGAAGGGAACAAGATCGAGACGTTCGCGCCCTCATCTGACTGACCACCATACCCCTTCCTCCCGTCTCCTACCATGGAGCCCATGGAGTTGAACCCCCAGCATTCACAGAGACGAACGTCGAAGAGGGCACGGATCCCGACAGGGCCGCTTTTGTGTCGTGAGCGAACAAAAGCTTCGCTGATACGTACAGCAACACGGCCAGCGCGGCGGCGAAAGCGTCGTTCCATGGGACTAAGGCCATATTGAAGTATCTACATAGATCCAACGTTGCTACGGGAACTGCTTTTGTTGATGCGGGAATACGGCCAACACTGTGGTGCGAGCGTCATGCTATTGGACGGTTACTACATGGGACCTCTGCAACGTGGCCAACGTGTCATAAGAAGAGCCAATGCTGCTGGCGCAAGAAAAAGGCCAACGATGTGGAGATAGCGCCGTTACGCCGGGTGGGAGCTCTGTCAAAAAACCTCGCAAGTGGCCAGCGCTGCAGCCAGAGCACGATACTTGAGAGGCCAATAATATTCTAACGATGCAGAGCCATATCGAACATCAAACAGGTGCAATCCTGTACATAAGAAATACACCCAACAAATGTGTTTGAAGCCGGTACCTGGGGAGAGAGGAGAGAAGTGTCCAGAGTACGTAGCGAACGAATTAAATACACAAAAGGCCCTCCGCCCCCTCTGCGCAACCGCCCCACAACTACCTCCGTCCACCACCCTCCACCACCATGCCCCATACCGCCATCCCTCCCCCCCCACGCCCTCCCTCCACCCTCCCGCCCATCCCTCCCGCTCCTCACCCAATCGCCCTCCTCCCAAAGAGGAGGGAGGAGGGAGGACGGGGGAGAGAAAAGGGATGAGGAGGGGGACGAGGAGGATTGAGAGGATGTTGATGACATTGACGACGTTGACGACATTGACGACGTCAACGTCGTTGACGACGTTGGCGACGCTGAAGGTGCTGACGATGTTGACGACGGCGATGGCGCCGAGGAGGAGGAGGACAACGAAGAATAATACACAAATAACAACAACAGCAGCAACAACAACAGCACCACCAACAACAACAACAACAGCAGCAGCAACAACAACAACAATAACACCAACACCAGCACCAACACCACCACCACCACCACCACCACCACCACCAACAACAACAACAACAACAACAACAACAACAACAACAATTACTAGCACGTGGGGACACTCCGTTCTCACCAGTGCCAGGGTTTTCATAGGAGGCGGGCAATACCCCCACTTTGTGGGGGGGCCGGTTCAAGCTCTACCAAATTTCCAAACGACTCTTCGCCACCACCCACACCCAGCTTCCCGCCCTATGACGTTCGGACACTTCACTTCGTGGCATGCGGACGACCGTGGCTACTATTCAGGGCCCCGCGGCCGACGACGACGGCGTGCGCGCGCGAAGAAAAAACGAATGTGTCCCGCATGGTATTATTTGACAGGGATGATGGCCCTGGCAGGTGCGCAACCGTTGTTGCAGAAGTTCGAAAAAGTTGCTCGCAAAAGCCCGTTTGACAGAAATGTTTAAAAAGTGTTGGGTTTCCTACGAATCCGCAAGAGCGCGCGGGATGAAATTTTGACAATTTTTTTGAAAAACCATTGGTTGTTTTGATGTTTTTATGTTAAAATCGCTACGAAAACTAAGGTTTTGGAAGGATTTCGTCTTGCGCGCGCGAATGTCCACTTTACCTTATTTTTGGCAAGGGATTCTTGAAGTTTGGTTATGTTAGAACAAGAAATGTCCATTTTTAGTGTTTTTTGCAAGGGAAAGCGGGGGGGAACAAAACAACCGGATCCGGACAATCGTTTTGCCTGAGACTTCCTCACGAAAATGATGAAAATGTAGCTGCGGCCTAGGCGGCGCGGGGGGCCGCGCACCAGGGGCCCCAACAATAATTATTCTTTAGAAGTAATAATGTTCAACAACAACAACAACAACAACAACAACAACAACAACAACAACAATTACTAGCACGTGTACCAGTTTTTCACTGTGGGGACACTCCGTTCTCACCAGTGCCAGGGTTTTCATAGGAGGCGGGCAATACCCCCACTTTGTGGGGGGGCCGGTTCAAGCTCTACCAATTTCCAAACGACTCTTCGCCACCACCCACACCCAGCTTCCCGCCCTATGACGTTCGGACACTTCACTTCGTGGCCTGCGGACGACCTTGGCTACTACACTGGCGCATGGTTACAATGACTTCTTGTGGTAACATCTTGTGGAAACTAGCTTAGTATACGACTTATACCCCTGTTCCAACAATGGGCACGTGTACCGTTTTCCGACGTTTTAACGTTTCTGTACCACACAAGCCAAGACCCTTATTTTGACTGGTATCACGTGCGTGGCGCCAGCATACCACAGGACTTGTTTCCGTTGTTGTGAGACGATATATGCTCATTCTTGTTCTGTGGTTCTCGTTCCGGCCTCAATGTGCAATACTGGCTCACTCGTCGACGAAATACACGTGACTACCTCTCTCTGGTTGGAGGTCCTGATGGTTGTGGTTGTCCCGATAATTGTCGCGATGAGTGTCCCGATGATTGTCCCGATTGTTGTTCCGATGGTTCTCCCGATGGTTGCCCCGATGGTGGTCCCGATCGTTGTCCCGATGGATGTCCCGATGGTTGTCCCGATGGTTGTCCTGATGGTTGTGGTTGTCCCGATCGTTGTCCCGATGGTTGTCCCCATGGTTGCCGCGATGGTTGTTCCGATGGCGGTCCCGATGGTTGTCCCCATGGGTGCCCCGCCGGAGGAGGAGGAGGAGGAGGAGCAGCAGGACAAGGCGAGGCGGACGCATACGTGCTCTGGAAGCATACTAAAGAGACGAGTCTGTGTGCTCATCGTCTTCTGGCATGCGCCTGTCCCTAATGGCACGCATCGGGCGCAATACTGCAAGCTGCGCTCCTGGCACCCATACATCAGGGGCCAAGTGTCCCAGCATGGTGCCGATACGCCTCCTCGCGGACACATCGCCCGTGCGTCCGTGGGGCGCCAATACCGCCAGGACGCCCTGGACATGCGCCGGCATACCCAGATTTTGACATTTTTTTGTTGAAAAACCATTGGTTTTTTGATGTTTTTATGTTAAAATCGCTCCGAACACTAAGCTTTTGGAAGGATTTCGTCTTGCGCGCGCGAATGTCCACTTTACCTTATTTTTTGCAAGGGATTCTTGAAATTTGATTATATTAGAACAAGAAATGTCATTTTATAGTGTTTTTTGCAAGGGAAAACGGATTACAACAAAACAACCGGATCTGGATCACATCGTTTTACCTGAGGCTTCCTCACGAAAATGATGAAAATGTAGCTGCGGCCTAGGCGGCGCAGGGGGGGCGTGCACCAGGGGGCCCAACAATAATTATTCTTTAGAATAAATAATGTTCAACAATTACTAGCACGTGGGGACACTCCGTTCTCACCAGTGCCAGGGTTTTCATAGGAGGCGGGCAATACCCCCACTTTGTGGGGGGGCCGGTTCAAGCTCTACCAAATTTCCAAACGACTCTTCGCCACCACCCACACCCAGCTTCCCGCCCTATGACGTTCGGACACTTCACTTCGTGGCATGCGGACGACCGTGGCTACTATTCAGGGCCCCGCGGCCGACGACGACGGCGTGCGCGCGCGAAGAAAAAACGAATGTGTCCCGCATGGTATTATTTGACAGGGATGATGGCCCTGGCAGGTGCGCAACCGTTGTTGCAGAAGTTCGAAAAAGTTGCTCGCAAAAGCCCGTTTGACAGAAATGTTTAAAAAGTGTTGGGTTTCCTACGAATCCGCAAGAGCGCGCGGGATGAAATTTTGACATTTTTTTTTGAAAAACCATTGGTTTTTTGATGTTTTTATGTTAAAATCGCTACGAAAACTAAGGTTTTGGAAGGATTTCGTCTTGCGCGCGCGAATGTCCACTTTACCTTATTTTTTGCAAAGGATTCTTGAAGTTTGGTTATGTTAGAACAAGACATGTCATTTTATATTGTTTTTTGACAGGGAAAGCGGGCGTCAACAAAACAACCGGATCCGGACTCCCCCGTTTTGCCTGAGACTTCCTCACGAAAATGATGAAAATGTGGCTGCGGCCTAGGCGCGGCGAGGGGGGCGTGCACCAGGGGGCCCAACAATAATTATTCTTTAGAAGTAATAATATTCAACCACAACAACAGAAAGAGGGCCCGAGAGGGGTCCTTGAGCGACGGGGCGCCCCCGTCCTTCCCCAGCGGCCGCCCCTTTCCCCCTTTCGCCCAACCTCCATCCCCCCTCCTCCCCTCGCCCCCCCCCCCCCCTTGCACCTCGTCCTGCCTCCTCCCCACTCCAGCCCCACCAGCAAAACCCCCTCGTCCTCGTCCCCCCACCCCCCCAACCCCGCCCCCCCCCCCCCCCCTCGCCCTCCCTCCTCCTCCCCGCCCGCCTCCCTCCTCCTCCCCGCCCGCCTTCCTCCACCTCGCCTCCCCCCTCGCCCTCCGCCCACCTCCTTCGCCGTCCTCGACGAGGATGGCAAAGAGGACGAGGAGAGCGAGGGGGAAGCCGACGTCCTCCTCATCCTCCTCTTCTTCTTCTTGTTAGTATTCGTCTTCGCCTTTTTCGTATTATGATTATTATTATGTTTCTTATTCTGCTTATCAGTATTACTAGTAATAGTATCAGTATTACTATTATTACTATTAATATTATTATCAGTATTATTGTTATTATTAAAACTAATCGTAGTATTCGTCTTAGACTTATCATTACTAGTAGTCGTATTATTATTATTCGCCTTATTAGTATTAAAAATAGTGTTCGTCGTATTTCTCTCCTTCATATGCATTAGTATTATTCTTCTTAGTAGTGTTCTTAATATTATTCGTAGTAGTGTTATGTTTTTTCTTACTACTACTATCCTTGTCCGAAAAATTCTGAATAGTTGGATTATTCTTCTTATTATTATACGTCGTCTTCTTCGAATTATGCGTATTAGCATTCGTCGCCTTAGTAGTATTAGTATTCGCATTATTATGTTATTGTCATTGGTATTTCTAGTATTGTTATTGTTATTGCTAATATTATGATTACTCTTTTTATCTTTATTATTCTTATTAGTAATATCATGGTTACCCTTCTTGCAAATATTCTTAACATGATTATTATTATTCCTCCTCCTCCTCCGCCGCCTCCTCCTCCTCCGCCTCCGCCTCCTCCTCCTCCTCCGCCTCCTCCACCTCCTCCGCCTCCTCCTCCTCCTCTTCTCCTTTCTGTTACTATTATTATTACGCGTCTTCTTATTATTCCTCTTCTTCCTCTTCTTCCTCTTCTTCCTCTTCCTCCTCCTCCTTCCCATCGCCAAGGCGTCCTTCGGCGACGCGTCGTCCTTACCAGGCTTCGCTACCCGCCCGGGCCCCAGTTGTCGGGGCCGCCAGGCGTGCGTGATCGGCGTCAACGTCGTCATCTTCATCGTCGTCGTCGTTCGTCGTGGATATCGTGGTCGTCATTTATCGTCCTTCGTCGACGTCGTGGTCGCCGTTCGTCAGCGTGGTTGTCGAAGTCGTTCGAGGTGGTAGTGGCCGTCGCTAGTCCTTCGTTGTCATCGTCGGTCCGTCGTCGTCGAACTCAACCGTCTGTCGACATTATCGTCGTTAGTCGTTCGCCCTGCCCCCTTCGCCATCGCGATCAAGACAATCATGATCGTCCTCATCACCAACGCCACCACACCCACCATACTGGCCATGACGACCATGATCGTCGTCACCATGAACAACTCCACCACCACTACCTACTTACAACAACAACAACTACCTGGGATGTGAACGCCCCCCCCCGATCTAAGTCTAAATCAATAAATTACAAAATACAGTAAATGAATGCCCGGCCCGAAAATTACGTAAGTTCGCGGAGGCGTACGACCGGGCACTTCTTCTTGTGCAACTCTTTGATTGGGAACCAATGAGTTGTGCAACGTTTTTCGTTTTCTCGGGTTGGGAACGATGTCCGAACTTGTGCAGCCATTTTGATTGGGAACCGATGAGTTGTGCAACCTCTTTGATTGGGAACCGATGAAGTGTACAACCTTTTTCGTTTTCTCGAGGTCGGTTTCCGAACTTGTGCGGCCTTCTAGATTGGGAACCGATGGGTCTTGCAACCTCTTCGATTGGGAACCGATGAGTTGTGCAACCTTTTTCGTTTTCTCGGGTTGGGGTCGGTTTCCCAACTTGAGCAGCCTTTTTGATTGGGAACCGATGAGTTGTGCAACCTTCTTGGTTTGGAACCGATGACTTGTGCAACCTTTTTCGTTTGCTCGGGTTTGGCTTGGATTCCGTACTTGTGCAGCCATTCTGATTGGGAGCCGATGAGTTTTGCAACTCTTTTGATTGGGAACCGATGAACTGTGCAACCTTTTCTTCCGTTTTCTCGGGTTGGGGTCGCTTTCCGAACTTGTGCAGCTTTTTGGCTGGGGAACGATGAGTTGTGCAACCTTTTTCGTTTGGAACCGATGACTTGTGCAAACTTCTTCGTTTTTTCGGCTTGGGGTCGGTGTCCGAACTTGCACAACCTTTTTGCTGGGGAACCGATGAATGGTGTAACCTTTTTGATGGGGAACCGATGAGTTGTGCAACCTTTTTCGTCTTCTCGGGTTGGGGTCGATGTCCGAATTTGTGCGGCCTTCTGGATTGGAACCGCTGAGTTGAGCAACCGTTTGAATTGGGAACCGATGAGATGTGCAACCTTGTTCGTTTTCTCGGGTTGGGGTCGGCTTCCGAACTTGTGCGGCCTTCTGGATTGGGAACCGCTGAGCTGAGCAACCGTTTCGATTGGGAACCGATGAGATGTGCAACCTTTGTTCGTTTTCTCAGGTTGGGGTCGGTTTCCGAACTTGTGCAGCCTTCTGGATTGGGAACCGATGAGTTGTGCAACCGTTTTGGTTGGGAACCGATGAGTTGTGTCAACATTTTCGTTTTCTCGAATTGTTGGCTCGGTTTCCGACCTTGTCTCGCCTTTTTGATGAGAAACCGATGAATTGCGAAACCTTTCTGATTGGAAACCGATGACTTGTGCAACCTTTTTCGATTTCTCGGGTCTGGGTCAGTTTCCGAACTTGTGCAGCCTTTTTGATTGAGAGCCGATGAGTTGTGCAACCTTTTCGACTGGGAACCGATGAGATGTGCAACCTTTTTCATTTTCTCGGGTTAGGGTCGGCTTCAGAACTTGCGCAGCCTTTTTGAATGGGAACCGACGAGTTGTGCCATGTGTTCGATTGGGAACCGACGAGTTGGGCAACTTTTTTCGTGTTCTCGGGTTGGGGTCGGTTTCCGAACTTGTGCAGCCTTTTTGATTGGGAACCCATGAGTTATGTAACCTTTTTGATTGGATGAGTTGTGCAACCTTTTTCGTTGTCTGGGTGTTGGCTCAGTTGCCCTTTTGATTGGGAGCGCATGACTTGTGCAACCGTTGTGCTTGGGAACAGATGAGTTGTGCAACCATTTTTGTTTTCTGGGGGTTGGGGTCGGTTGCCGATTTTGTGCAGCCTTTTTGACTGAGAAACGACGAGTTGTGCAAATTTTTTGACTGGGAAACGATGAGATGTACAACCTTTTTCATTTTCTGGGGGTTGGCTCGGTTTCCGAGCTTGTGCAGCCTGTTTGATTGGAAACGGATGACTTGTGCATCCTGTTTGATTGGGAACCGATGATTTGTGCAACCTTGTTCAGTTTTTGGGGCCGGGCTCGGCTTCCGAACTTGTGCAGCCTTTTTGATTGGAACCCGACGAATTGTGCAACCTTTTTCGTTTTCTCGGGTTGGGTCTGGTTTCCGACCTTGTTCAGCCTCCTTGATTGGGAACCGACGACTTGAGACCCGACAAACTGTGCAGCCATTTTCGTTTTCTCGGCTTGGGATCGGTTTCCGAACTTGCACAACCTTTTTGCTTGGGAACCAACGAGATGTGCAACCTGTTGGATTGGAAACCGACCATTTGTGGAACCTTTGCCGTCTGCTCGGGATGGTGTCGATTTCCAAACTTGCGCAGCCTTTCTGATTGGGAACCGCTGAGTTGTGCAACCTTTTCGACTGGGAACCGGGGAGTTGTGCAACCTTTTTCGTCTTCTCGGGTTGGGGTCGGCTTCCGAATTTCTGCGGCCTCTTTGGATGGGAACCGACGAGTTGTGCACCTTTTGGATTGGGAACCGATGAGATGCGCAGCCTGTTTCCTTTTCTCGGGTTGGGCTAGGCTTCCAAAATTGTGCGGCCTTGTTGATTGGGAACCGACGAGTTGTGCAACCTTTTGGTTGGGAACCGATGAGTTGTGTAGCCTTGTTTTTTTTTCTCGGGTTGGGGTCGGTCTCCGAACTGGTGCAACCTTTTTGACTGGGAAACGACGAATTGTGCAACCTTTCTGATTGGGAACCGAGAGTTGTGCAACCGGTTTTGTTTTCTCGGTATGCGTGCGGTTTCCCAACGCGTGCAGCCTTTATGATCGGGAACCGACGAGTTGTGAAGCCTTTTGGATTGGGAACCGACGAGTTGTGCAACCTTGTTCGATTTCTTGGGTGGGGCTCGGCTGCCGATCTTGTGCGGCGTTTTTGACCGGGATCGAAAAAAGTTGCACAACTCATCGGTTCCCAATCAAAGACGTTGCACAACTCATCGGCTCCCAATCAAAAAGGCTGCACAAGTTCGGAAACCGAGAAGACACAAAAAGGTTGCACATCTCATCGGCTCCCAATCAAAAGGGTTGCACAACTCATCGCTTCCCAATCAAAAAGGCTGCAGAAATTCGGAAACCGACCCCATCCCGAGAAAACGAAAAAAGGTGCACAACTCATCGGTTCCCAAGCAAAGGTTGCACAACTCATCGGTTCCCAATCAAAGAGGCTGCACAAATTCGGAAACCAACCCCAACCCGAGAAAACAAAAAAGATTGTACAACTCATCGGTTCCCAATCAAAACGGCTGCGCAAGTTCGGAAACCGACCCCAACCCGAGAAACCGAAAAAGGTTGCCCAACTCGTCGGTTCCCAATCAAAAAGGCTGCACAATCCGTCGCTTCCAAAGCCTAGCCAATCAAAAATGCTGCACAAGCTCGGCAACCGACCCCAACCCGAAGAAACGAAAAGGGTTGCACAACTCATCGCTTCCCAATCAAAAAGCTTGCACAACTCATCGGCTCCCAATCAAAAAAGCTGCACAAGTTCGGAAACCGACCCCCGCCAACCCGAGAAAACGACACAGATTGCACAAGCCATCGGTTCCCACTCAAAAAAGTTGCACAACTCATCGGTTCCCAATCAAAAAGGCTGCACAAGTTCGGAAACCGAGCCAAACCCAAAAAATCGAAAAAGGTTGCACAACTCATCGGCTCCCAATCAAAAAGGCTGCACAAATTTGGAAACCGACCCCATCCCGAAAAAACGGAAAAAGGTGCACAACTCATCGGATCCCAATCAAAGAGGTTGCACAACTCATCGGTTCCCAATCCAAAAGGCTGTGCAAATTCGGAAGCCGACCCCAACCCGAGAAAACGAAGAAAAAAATGCAGAACTCATCGGTTCCCACTCAAAAGGGTTGCACAACTCATCGCTTCCCAATCAAAAAAGCTGCACAAGTTCGGACGGAAACCGACCCCAACCCGAGAAAACGAACAAGATTGCACAACTCATCGGTTCCCAACAAATAAGGCTGCACAACTCATAAAAAGACAGCAAAAGTTCAGAAACCGGCCCCAACCCGAAAAAACGAAAAAGGTTGCACAACTCATCGGTTCCCAGTCAATAAGGCTGCACAACTCATAAAGAGACTGCAAAAATTCAGAAACCGACCCCAACCCGAAAAAACTGAAAAAGGTTGCACACTTTATCGGTTCCCAATAAAAAGCTTGCACAACTCATCGGCTCCGAAACAAGAAGGCTGCACAAGTTCGGAAACCGACCCCAACCCGAGAGAACGATAAAGATTGAACAATTCACCGGTTCCCAATCAAAAAGGTTGCACAACTCATCGGTTCCAAATCAAAAAGGCTGCACAAGTTCGGCAACCGACCCCAACCCGAGAAAACGAAAAAGATTGCACAACTCACCGGATCCCAATGAAAAAGCTTGCACAACTCATCGGTTCCCAATCAAAGAGGCTGCACAAATTCGGAAACCAACCCCAATCCGAGAGAACGAAAAAGATTGTACAACTCATCGGCTCCCAATCAAAAAGTTTGCACAACTCATCGGATCCCAATCAGAAAGGCTGCACAAATTCGGAAACCGACCCCATCCTGAGAAAACGGAAAAAGTTGCACAACTCATCGATTCCCAATCAAACAAGTTGCACAACTCATCGGATCCCAAGCAGAAAGGCTGCACAAGTCGTTTGATCTCCACCCAAAAGGTTGCACAACTTCG